ATTACTTCATCTCAATTATGTGTCATATCCTTCTAATACCTTTCATGAAATATAGCACATGTTGACAAAACTGTACAAAATTCTACAATATAGTCTCTATCATAGTTAACAGCTAAGTTCAATTAACTGATTAAGATATTATATATTCATCCACCACTTTCGCAAAACAAGTCTTCTCCGAGGTTTTGATGTCTATTAATTCTAAACAATACAGAAAATAATTCTATGAAAATAAGCAACTTTCGCCAAAAATAATCAAAAGCCAACATAATACTAGAGTTTATCATATAAACAATTCAATATATCATCAATACTAAGATTTACATATGGTTTTTAGCATACATGAAAATATTATTTTGCATAACTACGAAATTTTGATAACTATTTTACTAATACACTAACTTGAATACAAGTTGAAAAAGATGAAAGAATGGAACACTTTCATGTCTTTTATGCTTGTTCTTCCATCTCAATCAATTGTTTTACACCATCGTACATTTGTTTTATTGCTTCATACTGCGTTAACCCAAGGGTCACCTGAATCTTGCAACTTATGAAATTAAAAATAATTATCATAATTATTAAAATTTTCTTTAGTAAACATTTCGTGAATACTGCATAGTCTCCCAAAAAACCAATTTGTTCAGTAATTTGCCTTCATGTAATCCACTGAAACCAAATACCTAGACCACCCATATCTTTTTGAACAATAATTTAAGCATCTCAAAAAAACTCTTTCCGAATAGCCTGAAAAATTTTCAAATAACCTTATTCGATATATTGTAATATTCATCTGAGTTTCTGGAGGAACTACCACTAGCAGAACTGACACATAAATTCAGCTGTTCACACAAATCCTATAAAAATTGACAATATCTTTGCTCAGAAACTATAGAGATTATTTTCCTTTAAAAATCTGATAACTATTATATCTACAGAACAGAAATTTTCTTAATAAAAATAGTGTTTATTAAGGACTAAGAGAATTCTCAACGATAATAATTTTCTGAAGAAAAGTCAAAATGCTTAAAAACTAGTATTAGCAGAAATTAAATTACAGGAAAATTTGATCTTCTACTCAATTTCGGTAAACGTATCTGTACTGAAGCACGTATCGCAGATCCCAGATTACAAGGATTAGCTGTTAACCAACCGAGACGATCATCATATGCAAAAGGCAATTTTTTTTCCAAAGCCTTAAAGCATCCATATTCAAGCACTTTACCAAAGTAAAATTGAAAATGGTGGAGTATCCAGATAAAAGTGAATAATAAATAATGCTACAATAATAAATTCTAGTTTGAAATAGAAATTATGCTTTGAAAATATAGACTAGAAAGGTTGCTAAAATTATTACAGATCTCGAAATTCATAAGATCATGATTTCATCTCTTCAAGATGTTTTTCTTGCTTATCCATTCTGTAATGTCAAAAATACCTTTAATCCACGTATCAGACGACTAAGAACCTGCATAATATCATTTCCTTCTTCTGCCGAGATTATATTCAAATGGTCTTCATCATTGACTTTCACAATGAAAGACTTGTTCTTGTTGTGGAATACTCCACGTCCCTAAAATGAATGACTAGGCTGCAAACAGAAGACAATATTTCTATCAGTAGTTGAAAAAAATAACATTAAACCAAAGCTGAAAGTGATCAAAGACAATGATAAGCAGTGTCAAATAAAAGAGCATAAAAAGACGCTCGTGAATTATTACAGAAAGGAGGAAACTCTTTCAGTTTATTGCACACGAGTCTATCATATGACATTCGAAGTTAAATTATAGAACTCATGCCGTATTTCAAAAACACTGAGAACAGCTATGCTCTAAACAATTAGGAAAAATAAGCACCGATGGCCATGAATTGTACAGGTGTGGATAATTTAAAGCAACAGTATTGTCAGGTAGGATATGCTTGAACCCAAAATCGTCTTGCATTTCTTTTGTCATATTACTCACGGAATAATACATTCCTTGAAAATCTGGATCTTCAATTTGTTGCACTGCATTCTTAACCTTAAACTACTGATTTTAAAAAGACGGAAATATAAATATTTTTTTGCATAGTCCAAAATGTATCTTAAGCATAAACAGCTAACCTTTTGCTCGATAATCAAATAATCGTCTTCAGTTAAAAGCATGGAAAAAGGATAACCAGAAATAGAACGGTAGCATTGAATACTAAAAACAGTATTATTAACGACATAAGTTTAAAAAAAACAATAGAAATTTATTCCTAAAATGTTAGTAAAAAGTGAAATAAAGTGAACAGAACCAAAAATAAACGAAACGTGTAAACTATACATATGTTTATTCATTATTCATTCATTTATTTGCTGACAAAGAACTAACCTAACTGATTTGATATATTTACCATTTGCATCAAGAGCTGGAAAATTGTCTATTTTCTGTTCGCCGTAATCGACAGGTGGTTGTTTGGCACCTGGTTTAAATCCATGATAATCTTCCAAAACTTTATCAAAGAGAGCAGCAAATTTATAGTAAGATTCTGAATCAGCAGCATACATACCAGCTCTTGAATCTTTATCATGCAAACCTAAAATCAACTGAGAAAACTGTTGATCGATCAAACAATTATTTCTGATTACTGGACAAAAAAATTTTGAAAGAGAAATTAGTTCTTTGCATCAATAAAAAAAACATGACAGCAGGAAATATATACCAGAATTAATAACTTCGCATAATGTTGCACCCAACTTTGTTTTTTTACCTTCGAGCTTTTGCAAAATCACAGGAGTCAAATTTCTCTTCAACAAAGGACTACATTTTTCTGCCTGAAACCATAAAATTCAAATGAATATACAAATGGATGATGGTAAACTCTGGCCCTAATTTTTAAATTTAAGTATATTTGTGATAGTAAAGAAGATCGCAAATTCCAATCACTAGTTGGATGAATAAACATAGATATAGTGAAGGTGATGTAGTGTTATAATATCTAATTTTAGTTTTCCTAGTAGTTTATCAGTTGTGGTAGATAACCAACTGTATCTTCGGCAATTTAAAAAAAAAATGTCAAAAAGATGACAAAAAACAGAATGTCAAAAAGATGACAAAAAAATGTGGAGGAGCTATACCTTTTGAAGCTCAGCGTACGCATTTCTAGTTCTTTTGATATCAAATGCATCACCTTCACTGACTTGGTAGTTCATTTTATAAAGTTCCTCCGTCTGAAAAATACATATGATTCATAAATTTTTGTAGTTATAAATGAACAAATTTCTTAATAAATTATTAGGTACTTCAACTCTAGAAAAAATATTAATAAAAATGATATGAAAGCATTTGACTAATAAATTTCACTAAACATTTCAATTAACAAAAGATTTTCAGAATGTTGATCAAAATAATAGGAATAAAATTAAACCTACATAAGTTACGGCTAGAAGAGCTGCTGTAGCTCCACCAGCTATCTTGAACAAATTTTTAAATAAACCAAGTCGCGACATTGATGTATGGTACCTGCAAATGTACTTTCGGTACAAAAATAAGCACAAATTTCAAATATATATTAAAAAACGTCATGTATACTCACCACGTAATACTGCGTCTTATCGAACAAAACATTTAATTGTCCTGACCGTCATATCATATTCTACTTTTCATAGTAAAAATTTCATGAACAGTATGAAAAGCATTTTTTTAATGCAAGAAATTCCTCTCAATCATTCACTAATTTTCAGAAAGTGTAATCTAAAAACTAAGCAATTACGAATAAATATTATCTACTAACAATGAAAATTAGACGATAAAAATTCCAGAAACCCTCTGCAAATTCATGCGCCATTTATTACTGAAGAGAAAACATACATAATAACATTGTATCAGATTGCAATAATATAGAGTTATGTAAACGCGGTACCGTTATATCTAGTTTTCTACAGCTGTGTTTCAGTCTACTTTATGCACAGTTATGTACTCACATTCGACGATTTCATAGTGACGAGATGTTCGCAACTGCGTTCAGCAGTAAAATAGAAGTCTCACAAAGAGGAACTAACTGCATGATTACTCTGATGAATTACTTCTCTTGTACTTCTTATTTATGCTTGATATTTCTGAATTACTAAGCAAAGAAACGGCTATTTGTGATAGTCACAAAAAGTATTTTTTTACGATCAGTCGCATTAAAGAACTTATACAAAGCAGTAATTAAACAGTAGACATTTGATGAAAGTTTAAGTGTATATAAAGTTCATAAGTGAAATTTTGAAGAATCGATGTGCAACTTGCTAACAACTCCGCGTTTAATCCCAACAGACTTACAAATCACAAAAATGTGAAAGATGAGTTTTTCAGTTCATTCGTTCACTTAAAAAAATTCTAGCTATTTCGAGATTATATTAATAATATGAAGACTATCAAGTATAATCATGTCATGCCATTCATTTCTCATAATTAATAAATCAGAAGACTAGAATGAAAAAACAATGGGAATACAAATAATGCACAGGCTAGAAATAACAGATTTTGAAGACAAATCACGCAAAAAAAATATGCTCCAAAAATGTGATAGATAAAATCCATTTGAAGACAGTAAGATTTTACATGTTACAAGCTCGCTTGCCGAATGGTTGCTGCATTACTAGTTGCACAGCATTCTGTTCATATAACATCTGAAATCAGTACATATTGTAGTTCATATCTCAAACTACTTTTGCTTTAGGATCATAAGTCATGAGATATGCATGTCAGTACTTGACATTTTTACAACATAAGATTGTGTATATCCCTTTGGATTTATTACGCAAAGAAACAAAAATATTTCGTTACTGAAACAAGCTTTAAATATGGAAGTTTAGCTGTATCTTATTATAGTTGTAATTATTTTACTTGAGAGCATTGTTTCTACATTTTACCGTCTGAATTTGAAAATATGCTTCTTTTGCAAAAAGATTTCCTTAGTGTAATGTTCCTTATTTTCATTTACTTTATCGTGCAATCAAGAGCAGAAAATTCATAAAGTTCTTACAAATGATTATTTCATCGTAAATAATTAAAATTACAAATTTGGTTTCTTGTAAAGCTAAAGAAAAAAAAATAATGTGGTTCACTACGAGATTCAAGATGCAGTAATAAAATTCTACTTGTTTCAAGTCTTGAAATTGTAATTCTTGTTTCCTTACGAATTCCAGCAATTTATTTACTGAGCCACGAATATCAGCAATGTCATCTATCTGCTCTATCTCTTGATTTTCTTCAGCTAGTGACATTGCTTGCATTCGAGGAAACCAGTCACTTTTGTGCTCCTAAAAATTCCATCATCTCTAATTTTGAATGCATTTTAGTATTGTTAAGTGTACAATAAAGCCTCCTTGTTAGCAGTTAAAATACATCATTTAAAACAAACAAAAGTGAGCATATTTAAAAACTTGCTTTTATACATTTTGCAACATAGCTTTCCGGACCAGTGAATTCTGTTTCATCTTTAACTTGTAACCACACAATAAAATATAAATAATGATATAGATTGTGCTCATTTTTACGATGCTCTTCGAAGGTGACAAGCTTATTATCAAATCTAAATTAAATAGCTGGGTATTAAGCACGTAAAGATAAGCAGTCAATATAAAAAGCCATTTTTAGCTATGATTTTTTTGACTTGATTTAGACTATGGCTGATCAAGCTATATAAAAAACGTTTTCATTCATGACAAAAAATTCTCATAAAGTACCACAATGCACTAACCTTCCTCTCCCAAGACCACAAATAAAACAATTATTTCTTAGCTGATCAACTTTTTCATTTCTTTCAGCTCTCAAATCACCAAATGTATCAATGATAACACCAAACACCAAATTCAGTACAATAATAATGAGCACAATGAAAAACGCCAAGTCGTAAATAATCCGAAGCATGAATGAGTCTTCCTAAATAAATTAAATTTTCATGTGCTTTTCACTTTCAACTTTGAAAGTGGATAGAAAATTGTCTTCTTTCATTTGCGAAATGTTCATTAGCTATGATAAATCAGAAGAAATTTTATGTGAATAATAAGTCGAATTTGCTAAAATTTGTTTTGACATATATATATTCATTTTAAATTTAGAGTAAAAACAAATTTTTGATAAAACATGTTTAAGTATGCCACTGCCAAGTATTGTATCATGCTAGCTTTCGAACTTCAAATAAATACTACAGCACGCAGAATTAATAACAAATTATGTATCAAACATACATTTGGTCCCACATTACGAAGGACATCTCCAATACCACCTCCATTTCGGAGACCCCAATTCAGGGTTGTTATGATGCACATACGAAGAGTTTCACATGACCAAACTTTATAATCACTTCCTAAAAATATTGCTGCATTATATGTATTTAAGTAACTACTTGAATACACTGCTGGAAGAGATGCTCTCATTTAAAAGTTGAAGTTCTTATTAAATGAATTTAAAATTGTTATCTGTTTTTCAATTAATATCAAGAACCGTTCAACAGACGAGTCATAACAGCAAAATGATAATTGAGATAATCAAAAAACATGAAGAAAATATCATTTCGTAACTGTTCAAAATACAGTGGAATGAGGTTAATTTGTTGATAAATATGATAACAAGTATTAGTTAACTTGCTTTCATCAATTTGCTCATTACGTCTCAAGTTTTCGATACTGGAGCATTGACTGTCGTTTATGTATTGTTCAGTGAAAAAAGATTGAGAATGATCATATTCTGTAGGATTTTCAACTGGATCACCATAACTTTCAACACTATCCTCTCGGTCACAATTCAGTTGAAAATCTGAATTACTTCTAAATTTGAACATTTCCATGAAATTAAACAATTTTCTTTTATATTTATTAATTTCGTTTATTAACTTTCAATGGAAGACAAGACACCTTTTTGAAAATACAAGTATCCAACAATTGAAAAATGATATACAAGTATAACAGCCAATAACCCGGTCATTATAATAGATCGCCAGTTCCGTGTTACAGACCGAATTACATTTCGTAAAGTTTCTTCACTTGCAATAATATCGACTAACTACAAATCAAACAAGCTTCATTGAAATTTTTTCATAAAATTGATACATGAAATTCTGCAAAATTTGCAAAACCATACAGGAGAAATGAACTGAAAGCAAAAAGCAATCAGATTCTTGGTCAAGAACAAAAATAAACTGTGAGTGTAACAATTTTCAACTCAGATATATATCTGAAATAAAAAAATACATAGAAACAAACACTCACAAGTAAGGCATAAAACAGTGGTTGGATGCAAAGCCCTTGAATACAGATAAACAAATATGCAAGATGATACCAGATGCCACTATCTTGAAGTCGCTCAGGCCATGTCTTGTCAATTAAACCTCGATTTCCAACATAGCTTATTATATGTACACATTTGTTAATCAACTAAAATATGTTTTTATAAAGTTGTCAAAGAGTTTGTTATATGTAAAACAGTTTTACACTATCAACCATTTTTTTGAAAAAAAGTTACCAAAAAGGGATAAGATAGTTTGGAAAAAAGGGTAAGGAAGCTATGACAAATAACTTCATATTTTTATTACAACAGTAGAATCAAATGGGCAGAGACGAACCTGAAGTATGCCGACAACGCGTAATGTTGAAACTACTCCAATGAATGAAATGAACAACAATGTAAAAGTTGACAAAATGAGAAACAAAGTCCAATAAATTTCAGTTTTTCTTCCAAGAGAAGCTCTACAATCATGATATATTCAGCTGCATTGTTCTTCAATAATTAATCAAAAAATTCTATTTAAATAGGAATAATTTTTAAATATGAATTAATTCGTTCAACTCAAAAAAACGAATGAAAATTTAGATTTACCAAATAATGTTCTCGAAGCATTTTTTAGAACTTAAAATATTAAGACAGATAAATTTTTACTTTTCATTCCAGTGTGTTACCAAAAATAGTACTGACGCTATAGGAAGTATATACAAGAGCGGATTGCTTCGTGAGATTAATTCTGCAAACTTTTTTTCTTACAAAAGCGTACAGTGAAATAAATACAGCAATGTCAGTCACAAATTTTACTAACGCACTAAAAGAGTTTTCATTGACTAATTTGTTGTAAATGTATTATTTACTGAAATGAACTACACTACAGGATCTATGAAACAAATGTTATTAATCGCAGAATGTATACGCTAAGCCTGAAAAAACTACAGCTTATTCTGAAGCAATTAAAAAGATGGATCAATAAATGATTTAAAAACTATCATGTTTACAAATATCATTGGTGCTAAATGTTACTGCTAATAATCAAGAAATATAGAAACAGATATCGAGTATGAAATATTTCTTTACTCGTATTCAAAAAGAAATTCAAAAAAGAATATAAATATTGAAATAATTACCAGGTTCATTTTTTACAGAAAATGGATAAAATATTGCAATCAACGCATTAACAAGAATAGCAAGAAAAAATGATATCCTCTTCCAGAGTATGAGACGTTTTGCACAATTGCTAAAATACTTTCGATCTGAAACTTTGAAGCAATTATTCATGCAAAGGATCAAAATTCATTTACGTATGCAAACTAAAAATTTCGATAATCTAACTTTGAAGTTTTTGCTGCCATTTCATTTCTTCAAATAGATCAAACCACTTGTCGAAAAATTCAGTAACCTAAAAAATCTAAATGCATGGCTACAAAAAATATGGTGCTAAAAAAAATAAAAAATACAGTAGATTCTATCATGAAACAATTACTGTTTGATTTTTCGAAGCATAATAAAGACATAATTAGCTAGACAAAGTAAATCATGAGAATAAAAGAAACCTTCGATCCCTGAGCATCTTGTTCAGTCTCTAGTAAAATGTTCATTTTCGTTTCTGGTGTTAAATATTCGCACACAGTATGAATAGGAAATATAACTCTCTCCATTTTTCGATCATTGCGCACTATCTGTGAGCAGTTTTTTTGAAGCAATAAATTAAAAACTCCAAGAATTACGTCAAAAAGCGTAAATTAAGCATATAGATTTTCGCACTAGTTCTTGACTAAAATAAATGGATTTGTTTGGTGTGCTTTTTTGTAACTACACTTATTGTTCCATTTGTATTCTTTAGTATGTGAAATTAGAATTAGTTTACATTTTAACAAAAAATATCTCGATAAAAAGTTTGTCTTTTTGTTTTCACTACTTGATTTTTAAACAAGAAATAATTTAAAAATTTTTAAAACATGCTTTCAGTCTTTTATTATCAACTCAAGAATAAAAAATTTACGACATAAGCTTGCTAAATATATCAACAAGACAATGCAAATAATGGTTTTAATAAAAAAATTTAAACTTCAATTTGTGCGGTATGCTGTTTGTAGTACGACAAAGCTTTAGAAGTAACAGAATCCTTGTTATTTTCAGGATTTAAAGCTTCACGAAGCTTTTCATCGTGTCGAGAAAGTTGTGTTGCAAGAATAAAAATGTTGTGTCCTACCTATGAAAAATCGATATCAGTTAAATGTAGCAAAATCACTAATAGCGACTAATTAAAAGTTTGCCAACAAAAAATGAAATTAAAAAATAGAAAAAAACCTCTTGTGGATCAATAAGAATTGAATTCGTGGACAAATTTGGTGCAACATCATTTCCTTGACAAAAGGTATCGTGACCATTTGCTTTAGCACTCGATTTTGTCAATGAATGATTTGTCTGAAAACTGAGGAACTATTTTATATTCTTGATTATTTACTGCTGTATACTGATATCAAATATATTTGTAGAGCTATCTGCTCAATATCAAAAGTTAACGATGAAGTGAAGTTAAAATTATCGAACTATCTGATGATGAAATGAATATTGAAGAGTTGATCACTCATTAAAAATATCTGACCTAGAAGAATAACCAATATATAATGACTACATAGTAGTTCTTGTTTTGAAGAGATGTTCCAGTTAAGGTATAAACTTTTAGCAGGAAAAGGAAAAGTGCAAATGAAACAAAAAGCCCAGTCGTCATTTTTGAGTTCAAAAAGCTAAAAAATAGTATCAAACAGTAAAAAACAAACTTCAAATTTTCTTCTAATCTTTGATATTGCAAATTCCGTTGATTCTGACATCTCATATGCCAATTCAATTGCATGAATCTTGAAAATGAAATAAGTAATATTGAACTGTTAAGAAGTAAGTGAACTAATGCAGATGTTAATGAATGCATACTGAAAGGTGCAACGTAAAAAAGTCACGAATACTCTATGCGAAGCTTTTTTAAATTAATTATCAATAGATAGCAATTTGCTACAAGCTCACCAATTGCTTTGGCCCATTGCTCATATGTTTCATGTTTCTAAGGACACGTTCCGCGTTGTCAGCATCATGACGTGATTCCATTACTGCTAGTAACAATTTTGATGCAGCACTCTGAGAGCAAGCACTATTTTATTTCAAGAACAATTTTTTTCTTCAAGTAATTAACAAAACTTTGTTTTAAAAAATTCAGAATTTGTTTAATTTTAATTTTCGAAACCACATTAAAAAGCCTACTTTGTTTTTATTTTTTAAAAGCTATCTCTCTTTATTTTTGGCGAAAAATGCAGATAATATATATCTTACTTTTATTTCTAATGCCAAATCCATGCGCGCAACGCAAAGAGGTTTGATTTCATTTAGCACCAAAGATATGATCATATTAAGACCAGATTCATGGCTAGCAATAGCGTTCTTTAAAAAAAAAATGCATTTATCCATGCTTATTAGATGTATAATGACGTCGAAGAATTGGTACAAATACTGAAGGTGCTAAGTGATCTGTTTGATCATATAATTAAATTAGAGTATTCAGTACGCAAAAAACCATTACCTGGTTTTCATGACAAGGTCCTTGGCAAAATTCTGTTAAAGTGACCAAAGTTTGAGTAATGAGTGAAAAATTGTGCTCGCCTATTTCACCGAACACACCCAAACATCCTTAAAATTGTCATTACTTACATATACAGATTGATTTCACTTATATTTTTTGTTTATTAAGTAAATGACAACTGACACAATCTTATCGATATCCTTCTACTATCATAACCTCTGTTTAGTAATACCGAAATTTCTAAATGAATCGCAAATGTTCTTCAGCAGTCTCTTTATTCATCTTCATACTTCTGCCTAGCTGTATAAATCCCATTGGTCCCATTATCAACTTGTATGAACTAATTTTAGTCTTATGTAATGTATTATGCTGTTAAAAAATGCACTGACTGTAAATTATAACAAGGCATCATAGCACATAACAGATTTTCGGACAAGTCAACAACAGATTTGGTCACTGTGCTTGATTATTAAATCTCGAATTTGATATCTACTTTCTTTCTCCTTACGTTCAACACTTTTAGTTTACCTTGCCTACTTATGTTCTTATAAGTAAGAATTAATTTGTTGTATAAGAAATAACTTTTGGCCTGAATGATATCTTCGCTTTTTCAACACGAAAAATATTAACTTCTGATCATAACATTTCATTAAAGCATATATACTGAATAGAGGATGAAGTCGTAATTAATTGTTGATAAAAATTTCCTAGCAAGGAAGAATGTGAAAAATTGGATCGAAAGCACAAACCTTTTGTACTGCCACAAATAACATCTAGAAACATGAGTGTTTCATCAACCAAATTATAATTCTGTCTACTGCCTTGATATCGTAAGAAATTCTGAAAATGAATTTCCAACAATTTGTTGTTTATTTTCTAATGACAATTATTAGAAAAGTTGACAAGTCAGTCACTCACCTGTAACACCAAATTATGATTCTCACATAATAACTGCAGAAACCGTAGAATAGGTTCAATAATAGCGATTTCTGAAGGAAGAAACATTTTCCTAAAATGTTCTTATCAAACAGTTAAAAAGAAAAAAACTTCAAGTAAGATTTATCAAATATCAAAAACAAAAAGAAAGCATGGATCTTTCCCCAAAGTAACATCATAAATTTAGTAAGCTTAAAATGATAGAATGGATTATCTCAATTGGGACTTTTGAAGGAAACTGATATCATATACAATTTCCCATACTGGTAAGCAATGATTATCTTATTTCCATTCCTTCAGTTTCCTATCTGGAGTGAATCTGTTCTTGAGATTTTAAAACTTCGTATTACTTTATTTAAAAAAAAATGAAAATCATAGAGCAAACTTGCTTTTCATCACTTATATGTAGATTCATATCAGGACTAAGCGATCCAGGGATGCAAGTATTCAAAGGTGATGGTAAATGTGTACTTAAATCGTCATTAGTAGCTTTTAATTCTTCTTTCAGAAGCTGGGCAGAAACTTCAGGCAATGGTGAATTCATCACAGATGCTATAAAAATATAATTATCGCAAGCCGCAATGATATAAGTTGCTGATTACACTATTTTGATAATTAAAAATGTTGAGGACATTTTCGGTAATTGATCAATGTGATTAAGTAATAAAAACATTTTCCGAAAAATATAAACATACAGTTGAATTTGTTATCTGTGAATCTAATTTCTGAATTCGCTAATAAATATTTTCTATACTTATGTGTTTAAAACATAAACTATAAGACACAGTTAAATATAAACTAAATGAGGCACAGTAAATGATGGTTTTTCAACATTTTCTTAGTTCTCATTAATCCTAAAAAGAATTGTAAATGTAATTCAAAATAACAAACAGTGACGTGGACGCAAGTCGTTACAAGCCATTAAATCACTTTTCAACTTGTTCTGTGCTATTTGCAGTTTTGTTTTTAAGGCATTGAAGAACGGTTCCGACACTGTACGTTCTATCAAGTGATTGTAAAATGACATTTGCACCTAAAACAGTTATAAATGATATAAAAAACGAGAATTTAAAAAAAGGAAATCAATTGAAAAAAGCTTCCAGAACTAAGAAACCTCATAGTTTCCTTCATGAAGTAGCGCTTTCGAAAGTTGGAGTGTCATGTAGAAAATTTCATAGTTTGGCTCTTCCATGATTAGATCAATTACCAAATCTAAAGGAATTTGTCAGCTTAAAAACAAAACAATAGAAAGCAAGCATATTATGCGAAAAAAAATCAAACTATTATTTCTTTGCATTTATGCTAATATATTTCACATGAATACTACAACCAAAAAACCAACATATATTTTTCAGTCAAGTTGTGTGAGCTAAAAATCATAAAATGGCACATACCACTGGCACCGGCGCTATTTAATTTACATTGTATATCATATAAAGATATTTCTTTTGTTGGTTTCAATTCATGTCCAAGCTCATATTCTGAAATTAGAGAAAAATGCGACATTAAGATTTTGATAGATTCAAATTCTACTAATAAAGCAAAAAACATCTATCTACTTGTTTCAACTTACAGTCGATATTCTTGAACACTGCACAGAGATCACTTAAATTGGAGATTTTGAGACTGCAGAGAGCTTGAAGTATGGACTACTAGTTAGGTGATTTACTGTATTATTAAAAAGAAATTATAGATAACATTAGTCCACAAATTCGCCTAAAGAAAGTAAAAAATTTGTCTCAACAAGTTTTATAACATTTTGTTATTGGATCCAAAATCATGGTGAGGATAGAAGTTCAAACTTTTAATGCACTGACTCAATTAATAAGTAAATATATATTGTTTTTAAATTTCTACCATTATTCAGTGGTAATGGATTATTTTCATTTCTTTTTATATTACACAGAGCATCATCACCAAAATACCGTTTCAACGATCGAATTCGTACATCTATTGCCTGCAAATGAGTTTCAAACAGTATAAAAAGTAAATTTTTTAAACTAGAAATGCAACAAGTTCTTCCTCTCAGCTTTTCTTATTTATTAAATAAATCTGAAAAGAGCTGAAGCAAAAAAAAAATCCAGTTCTTTTTGGTGCATGCATGAAAGAGGAAAATTTGTGTCATGTCTGCAAAAAGCTCATCAACAGGTAGTTGAATCGAAACAATTATATGACAGGCTTAAAATCATTGTTTTCCTCATTGGTATTATGAATTTGCTCAAACAAGTTTCAAATTTGTTTAAAATTTTAATTAATATGTAACTTACCAAGTACTAGTATAAACTTCTGAATAAGATAGTGATCAAAACTTATCATGGCAAGAGAAGCAGAATGCATGCAAGAGGTATGAAATCGTTACTAATAACCTGATCAAACTATAGAAATTAAAAAAGTTTCTAACAATTAGCACTTTTAGTACATACCCACGAATCTTTTAAGAATCCCAATTCTGCCAAACTGTTCTAAACAATTATAAAATTTAGTGTAGAATCAATGAAACACAATATTATAAATGATACATCGTTTAATTTCGATCATCTAATACTTGGTCATTACAATGATAAGAGATGAAACCTAGGGTTTGTGTGAAAATGAATAAGTGAACTAAAATATTCATTGAAATGTTTATTTTTCCAGAACAAATCATCTAACCTCATTAATAGGACTAGATTTTGCGTTTGATGTCATTTGACAAAGAGTCTGTAGAACACGAACACATAGAGCATGCTGTTCATGTTGCAGAAGCAATTTGCAATGTTGAATTAATCTTAAAAAATGGATTAGAAAACTGAACTTTTTCAACTGGTCTTATTTTTTCATATTCTTTTCTGAGGTTCATGAACAAAAAAATTTCCACCATGCATTTCAATACCTGCCTTAAATCAAAACCTTAACATTTTTGGAATACTCAATGTTAAACTTAAAATTGGTAGAATAATCAACAATAAAATTTTTAATTTGAAAATTTAAATTAAAATTTACTTTGAAATGACTCCACCGTTTTCACATTTTTTATATAAGTCGGAGTCAGGTTTAAACAATCTTTCTGGAGCATATAAAATATCCACCAGCACTGATGTTTCAGCTGCTTGCAATGGTAATGCAAAACTTTTGAATTCTTCCACCATTGCCTTAACAAACTATTAGTAATTAATGCTAGTATGAGTAACTGCATATGGACTTGTAATGCTAACATGAAAATGCTTTCTACTACAATCAATTTGACTGACCACGGGACTGTAATAGAAATTCAAAATTTTAAATGATCATTGATAGTAAATTTTTACTTAGTTTAAACAGAATGTGTATGCATGACCCCTTGAAATATAATTTTAAGATCAAAATCAAAATAACAGTTGAATAAATATGCTTTACTATACATGAAAAAAATAGGACCTGATAACATTCAACAACATTATTAAAGCTTTCAGTTATGCGAGCAAGATGTGAAACTTGGAGACGAGTTTTTGTTAGCATATTCGCTTGATTAATAAAACGAGCTGAATGAACAGCAGATTGCCAACGCTGTTTTGCGGTTTCTGCTGCAGATACTGGTGGCATGCAAACATCAGCCGGCAACATTACTCCATTTTCTTCGGCTGTCATATCACTTTTTGTTATTAAAAAATTGCAACACTTTATTAATGTGTACTAAAGTGTTTTTTAGTTTCTTGTTTAGATGATTATGGATGACGAGGTCATCCAAAACGTACGAACAAAGTTGTTCAACTTTGAAAGGATTTCATTTCCAAGCAAAGTTGATTTTAATAATGCGCATTTATGATTTTGTATATTTTATAAACATAATCTCTATAACATAAAATAAGAATAACCTCGTTTGCTAAGTCGCTTAACACATTCTGCAATACGATACCAACTTTTAGCAAAACCTTTTTTTGCTAATTCTTTTTGTAAACGACTAAGACATTGAATTATTTTGGAGAAAGATTCGTGATGCTGCTAAAACTTGACAAATTTAATGAAAGATTATATGTAATTTTAAAACTATAAGAAAACATAGTTCTATAGCAATCACTATAATTATCGACAAATTACTTTAATAGCAAATGCAAAAAATTATAAAACAAAAGTTTTAAAGCAGAAAGAACTCGAGACTGTCAGTGTAATAGTGCATATGGAATTATGATGTGAAATTAATGTTCCAAATGAGAATACAATAGTTGATAGAATTTGAAACTCAGTTTTGATTTAACAAAATACTTTAGTTAATGAAACATATTGTTGATGCGTACATAAATATTATACTACTGAAGCAACCAGAGAAAAAATGAAAATTCACCGAAATATCCGTGATGGAATGACGACTTGAGCGCCTTTCAAACAGGTTAATCAACACTTCAGTTACTGTATAACAGACATACTTTTCCAGTGCTGAATTGGGCAACAAGGAAAGCTTCTCTGATTTCAGCTAAATGACTGACTTTTGAAAACACTACCTCATAAAAACAAATTAAAATTGATATCAATCGTCTCTTGAAGCTAGAAAAGAATAGTTTCAAAAATTACTCTTTTGTTAAAAATTTTTACTTAAATAACAAGAATTCCTGCAAATTAAATGCTAATGTAGCGGTTACTTCATAAATGAGTAATCTTCTACGAAACTCAAAATTTTGTGCTAAGACTGATATAACAATAAATACATATTCGAGTAAATACTGAACACTCACACAGTTTTTAGCCGTGGCTTTCTCATAAAATTTGTCAAAAACTTTAAAATTAGTACAAAACAGAAAAAAGAACCTCTAACAATGAGTGTATATACATCTTTACGTCATCAAGAATATTCTTTAGAATTTTCTCTATGAATTCAACATTATCGATATCTTTCATTTCTGCATCCGCATCTATATAGCAATGTAACATAAATTGCAAATAAACATCTTTCACCTATAATAATTACAGATGATCCATGCGATTTATGATATATTTATGACAGAACCTTCTTTAACAAATAGACAGAACCTTGTACCAGCTCCAGATATAAAATCAACAATTATTTGTCATTAATATCCCTTAGTTAATATCACTCAAGTAATGATATGTGTTTTAAGAAATAAATAAGCTGTAAGCAAAAATCCTTAAGGAGAAAAAAAAAAACTAACCTGTATCAAACAGCAAGGTGACGTTACAACACGGACAATATGATCCATAGAAAGTTGTGAAGCGCACTTTAATTCCGTCGTGCTATTCCTGCCACGAGTACATAAAGTGAGAAGTCTAAAATTTAAACATGTTGTGCATTGCACAAAATGACTTTCATAGAAATGTTAGCAATAGCATTATAAAATAATCATTGAAATAAAATGCGATTTCCTCTCATTGAACACAATCAACTTTTATTATTCATTATTGTTTTATTTTTATAGTAAAGCACATGATTTGCATACCTTCGAAATTTCATTAATTAAATTATTCACGTACCGTACTAGGTCGATATGATAACGCAAAGGATGATCTGCATTCAACTCTTCAGGACCTGTATTTTGCATCATTTGCTTCAACTGTTCAAAACTTGCACTGTCTGCATAAAACATTCTGACATCATCAGAAGACGAACAAATCTGGAAAGAAAAAAAGTTATTCACCCATAGCATCTTACTGTTTTTCAAAACATTATCAAAATAAACAATGATAACTATAATGAGAAAAAGAATGAGCGTAAGTAATCACCATTAACGATGATTTGTTTAAAACTATCAGATTAAAGTGTGAAATGTAAGGCATAATTGCTGATCATCAAATAAATTTTGCTTATTTGATGGCAGCATATAAAACAAATTTTAATGAGCTACCTCTAGCGCAACTTTTTCTTGAGCAGATTCAATTTCTTTGCCGTGCTCCATAACTACAGTTTGAAGAAATTCAATATATACCACACTGCGTGCTTTATGTTCGATCATAGCAACAACATGAGCAATTAGTTTTTCAGATATATTATGACACAATATACGATTATTTTTAAAAATCGCTATTAACGTTACAACTTCTTCAATCTAAAAGAACATATTTACCATGTACATTTGAATAAAATTATTAATCGTTTGCAACAATGTATTAGAATAAACTGGAAGACCGAGTGCATCCTTTCAGAATGCAAAAAAAAGTCATTAAATTATATATGTTTGCTTAAAATACATTCAACGCCTTAATCCAAAGTGTGATGTATTCTATTATAATGGTGTTATATTTCATCTGTATGGCTTTTGTAGAAGCTGTACAGAAATCCTTAATAAGTATATTGTGTTTTTTCTGCAAATGCAAGAATTTAATAATTATTAAGCAATCTGTTATTACCAAACATGTAATTGTTTTATTGAATTATGAATACATAAAAAACATATTGTTTATCTTGTAGTATTTTTGAATCTAAAAAGTATATGTAGCTCTAAGTTAAATTTAAAAAATGTGTTATTGAAGAAATCCATCGTAAATGACATACTTAAATCATACCGTATTTACTCTCAAGCATCCTTCTTTTGCATCTTGCTCAACAGAAATGTATTTATGCAACCGAAATTGATTTTCAATATTATTTCGACAGAAGCTTCGTAAGAATTCATGGCATAGGGTAACAAGTTTTGGCATTTCAGCATCAATTTTCTACAATATATTTAATTATTATACTTGTTTTTTAAAGAGAGAATTCCTGACATTTGATAGAATACTTTTGTTTACTTGAATCATTATAAAGATTTTCTAACTTTGTCGTAAGGAACAGACAGAAAACCAAGAATGTACTCATGCACACGCATATTTCTCAGTAATTGCTGATTCATTTTATCTGGTTTTTTATCTCTATAACACAGTTGCTTGAGCCGGTATAAAATCTGAAAATAGTTATCTAATCATATACCGTAACAAATTTTTGATAAATAAACAAAAAACGCTTCTGGAGAAAATTTAAAATATTTGTTAGAAGTGAAGCGTCTGAATTCACCTGTCTTATGAGTGGATATCCTATAAGGGGTGCAAGTTCGGACAGATCACATAAAGCAGAAGCTGCTTGCATACGATCATCTCCCAAGAGTAGCTAAAAATCTTAGTACAATTTCCTAATACTTCTTTTCCATTTTTTTAAAATAATAATTTGATGTGATCAAGTTAGGAATAATGCATTAATGATTACATATTTATTAAATTTTATAGTTATGAACACGTCAATTACGTCAATACTACTTCTCTCCTAAATGATATTTTAAACATTTATTTCAAAATTAAAACTACTAAAAATTTTTTTCCTTAAACAAAGTTAATATGCTGCTCAAAAACCAAAATTATTAGTATTTCAAGTTATTATTGCTTATATGCAGAGTTGAAATCATTCTGAAATAAAAAAATTGACTACGGATAGTTTGATTCAGCAAATTTTACCCAATAAAAGATGTTATCTTCAAAAAGTACTTTTATCCTCAAGAATTTTAACAGATTCTGTTTTTAAAAATGCTGATTTAAAAAATTTTTGATAAAATAAATAAGATATAAATGAAAATTTTTAGAATATTTCTTGAAACAAAAGTTAATTCAACAAACTATGTATTTTTAGTAATATTATTAATTCAGATGGGCATTCCTTATCAAAAGCAGCAAATCTTCATTCTCAAAAAATACAATCAATATTAAAATGAAATCGAAACATTCTGTTTTCACAATTTTCAAATTTACTATTATTCATGAACTTTTGGGGGCAATAAATTACCAATTTTTCTGGATTACCTCTCGGAGTAGCTTTATGCATTCATTTCTAGAGGAAAGATAATGTTCATCAATCTTTATTACCAGTAGACGAAAGCTTTCATAATTATAAAATGCACGAGGAGCACTCAAACCATTATCTTCTAATTGTTGGCTAGTAGATTGTCTAAAAATTCATGATTATAAACAGCAGTACTTTTGTTTTATTTTTTAGGTATTTTTCTCCATTTGTTTGTCTGCATTACTCTGCACCACTTCGTGACAAAAATTCATGTTAAATAAAACAAACACTGATGTATCAGATTTTGGCGACTCATCAATATTCAAGCTGTGTTCTTCGAAGCTGGAGCTACTACAACTTCGTCCTTTCTCAGCTTGTACCCAAAGTTCACTTTTTTCTGTCAGTATTTTCAAAATGAACAAATCGCGATCAATTTGTTGATAATTTTCTACATCATCATTTGAAACTAATAGTTGAACCTTAAAATTTATGACTCTATATTGATATTGTGATTCAAATTCAAAATTCATCATTGATCTCAAAGACTCCAAGTCATTTAATGATTTGTGCAGTTAAAGATTATTAACAAATTCAGATTTAATGATAACAAAACTAAATCTGTTTGCTTAGTAATACCTCAAACACTAAATGTAACTATAATTTACAGATATTATTGTGAAATGAAAAATTCGGAACAAAATTAAGCTTCCATCCATCATTAGTAAATGTTGAATTTCCAAAAGTCTCATTCTGTTTTCATGATTAATTATACAAACTAAAAAAAGTGAGTGATATAAAAAATAAACTGACTTGTTTGAGATCATCAACGAACTCTTGATATTGCGTGAAATGACGGAATAGTACAGAAAGAGCTGTGCTAGTAAGTTTAGAAAAATCACTCATTGTCATTTGTAAAAGAATCCGCAGAAGAAGCTGACCGCTGCTTCCATCAAAATCTAGCTTCTTTTCACATTCTTGGAAAACTTCTTTATACAATTGTGATGCGTTATGTTTTGAAAGATCTGGAAACTTAATCAAATATTTATTTAGTAAAATAACTATAGAGATCAAAGACAAGACCTGAACCTCTTTCTTACGTATTTTTTCGCATCATAGTTAATATCAGTTAAAAACCTTATTTTTTGATGGTTTAACGAAAATATTATATTGAAGCATTTGACCAGTTTTTCAAGAGTGAAACTGAATAACTCATTATGTCAACTTCAAATTTTGCGTTCTTTTGTAAAGAAGATTTATTTCTAAGGTAACCTTTTTAGCACACATCACTTTAAAACATACAATTAACAGTAGTTTATGATCACTCTTTTCTGTAAAGGAAGCTTGAGAATTATTTCAAAATGGTTACCTGCTTTTGAGAAAAGTTCTCCAACTTCATCACATGGAAAATGTCGCTTAAACCAAGATAAGGCAACCGTTATACGATAATCTCTACGAACATCCATTATGAACTAAAAACTCATAGAAACCAAATATTTCAATCTTCTATAAAGTAATAAGTTTAATAATGAAATTTTTACGCTCACGTTTAAAATTTCGACGATTATTAGTTTCGTTTGCTGAATCATTTGTTTACTTTTTTTGGCTTGAGCAGAATTTTCCATACATGATGCAGCCGAATCCTTATGCGAAAAATTATGTTTTGATAACTTTTTCATGAGATTCATATCATTACCTGAGTAATAACAGGGTTACTTTAGAATTTTCTTTGACGGTATCATTGCTGAATAGTGAGAGTATGAAAGAACAATTAAAAATATCTCTAAACATGCTCGCTGAATTCTTGACTCATTGCATATGATAGCTTTCAACAAACATACAGTCTATTGTTATTCGAGATTAAGTCCACATTAAGTATCACTTCCAAAACAAAAAATGTAAAAACAATAAAATTTTTTCAAATTGCCCGGTTTAATAAAAATACATACAAACTATTCAGTTCAAATTAAGATAAATCCTGAAATAAATTACTTTCAGCTTTTTTTGGACTGCTATCAGCAATAGCCAATAAATTTTTAGCAAGATTGAGCAAATTGGCAAAACTATAAAATCCAAAATTAGCAAGTGCTCGGGCAAGTTTTACAATCTGAAAGCTATATAATTTTATTTAAAAAAAACAATATCAACAGCTAACTACAAATAAAAAATTGAAATTAGTAGCACCTCAAAAGTTAACTGATTTTGCTTCAGTTTCGATACACTTGGATCTAAGACAGGTCCACCTTCTTTAGTCATTTTAAGCAATTCTTCAAAATACAAGTCGATAGTTCTTAAAACATTATCAAAAATTTGCCCGCCACTTCGTACATGACTACTGTCAGTATATCTGTTTCCTGGTCGAACTGAGCCCCTATACAAGAAAACTTAAGAATGGTGCATATAACTAGAATGATTGATTAATCACAGGTTTTTTAATAAACATTTAGAAATTAATCTACTGCATGCATAGACTGAAGTTTGTGATAGAAAAAAGTTTTTTTCTCTGTCGCAAATTTTCTTCAAACATTTACAGTAATACCCAGAAACAGTAACATGATGCGGGATTTCGCGCCATAAACGAGCATGGTGTATGGCGCTAAATGGTGAACCACGTATAACGTGCAGATGTAACATAAGGCGCGTAAATGATGCTCGTAAATCTTGCGGTAATCTTGTATCCGAAATACATCTGAAATCTTGAATATTGCCATAATTTCCGACAAAGAAAAGAAAATTCGGCATTGAACCAAAATCTTACCAAGAGCTGAAACCTTACTCTATTTCGAAAAAGAAAAAATGGCTACAAACCTAAAAACGAGCTCAGCAGGTAATTCTAAACTGAGATTTAGAAGACATCTTTCAGGTGGAGGGTCGATTGCCAGATATTGCTGATCTTGACACATTTGGGCCAGAAGATCAAGTTGATGTCTGAAAAAATTGTTTCCAGGAAATTGCCTCAATATTCTGATATTCGAATGTAAAAGTCATTAAAAAAGAAAATATGATTTTTAAATTTCGGCGGAGTTAATAACAACTTTTTTTTAATCATAAGCTAATCGAATTCTAAACGAAACTTGAAATAGTTAACAATTTCACTTGTAATAATCAAGTATTTCAGAATCTTTCGCTTCATCTTTTGCAGCATTCATTGCAATAGAAACTAACGGCTTGCAAAAGGAATGCGGAGAACAAATCCACACTTCATCATGACCCTGAAAGTTAATGGCTGCTAGATAATTACATCTTTTCTTTGATTGCTAAAGTTATACTATTATGAACTCAGTCAAAGCTAAAATATTGAAAGGATAAAGTTCAAGAAAATACTAAAACAATCATAAAACAGAATAAATACTGTATATAAATACTTGAACATTAATTTGTCATTGATTTTCAATTTCTATGAAACAAAAATAATACAAATGAACTCAACAATGCCTTACATCTTCAGAAATGATTTTAGTCGTAAGAAATATATCACGATTTAATTTGCTTAATACACAGTTGCAAATCAATTCTTGAACTTTTTTGTTTGCTTCGCCACGACAAACACAAAGATCAGCGAGATAATCCAAAAACCTAAATGATGTAACGCATTTTAACATGAAAATCTGTAAATCAAA